AATCATTACAATCCAGTGATTGATATCATGAGCATCGATATGCGCAATTAGGATCGATGACTGTCATCGATCCTAACTGCGCATATCAAACTCATGATGTCGATCACTGGATTGTTTTGTCCAGACTCGATTATTTATAGACCGCTGTCATATAGCTGGAATATTGCTGAGGGCGGCGTAAAACAACAAACCAACCAAAACCAAATCATAAACACATGCTCATGGTCAGAATCGCACAATTGACTCTGCTTTTGTTAAGAGACTTCTTATGAACATGGAAAAGGTATTGTCGCCTTTATTTAAACACACCAAGTCAGTGCCTAAATAACCTCTTCCAATGTATGTGTGTTTACGTATATGTTCTCGGTGGCACGGGGGTCGGTGGTCTAAGGCGGCGGAAGTCGCAGTTCGCCCTTTTAGGCGTGTTGGTATGTCAGTATCATACCCAGGCACATGGCTTTCATCAAAGCAGTGTACGTCGAAAACATGCTTCACTCTGGGCTTTCGTCTGATATCAGTGGACGAGTGATTATTGCTTAATATTTATGATGATGAAAACCATATATTGGTGGAAACACAAATTGGAATGATACACAATTGAAATGTCTCCATTAATTAAATGTATCGTCTAGAATACACATATGTCTTTGAATTCGTTAAAATTATACCAATGTGTAATGGCAAGGTATATTTCCTTTGAGATATTGTTATAGTCACAAAGGCATTTTTATAATTAGAATATAATATGGTATTTCGACTCTGGGATTATCTGGGATATTCAGAACATTTATCCGGGGACACCGGTGGCCCTGTTGAGTGAGGCGTCTCTCCATTAGGTCGCTTATTTCGACAAGGGTAGGGTATATCTTTTCCTCGTCATTGGTGTTCTGAAATCATTATATTAAGACCACCGGTAAAACAATTTTGTGACGGGTGCCACCTGTGGGACAGGATACGCTCAATTTTTTCGCAACCATCTGATATCATCACTATTTGATAGTGATTCGCGAACGCATATGATAATAATAAGAAGAAGAAATGTGATTTGACTGATTCCTATTATATCTCTGAATACAAAGAATCAAATATTTACAGGATGTCTTACATACCTTGTGTCATGATACTGCGCTTTCAATGACATTATTTCCATGGAGCAGAAAGGGATATTGGGGTTGTGAGGATCAATTGCTGGTTTAAACAATGATCCTTGAAGAGGCTAAAACTTACCATCATATCTTCTCAATCTACATGTGTTGGATAGACAACAGAAAAGCTTATGATTCTGTACCTCACTTATAAATTTTGAGTGAGTGAGTTGGGCTTAACGCCGCTTTTAACAGTATTCCAGTTATATCGCCGCGTGTCAGCTTAATGTGGGAGGAAAGCCCGAAGTGATGCAGGTCTCAGACGTTTACCACTTCGGTGAAACCCACGAGCACGGGTATGGTGCTGACAAACCTAGAAACATAATCGGGGCGAACCGGGATTCGAACCCACAATCATAGGTTACTAGCGCGCCCAAGGGACGCAAGTCTGCACAGCGAATCGCGGCGCCTTAGACGACTGGGCCACCCCTGCCCCCCTATGGATTTTGAAGTCACTGGAATGTATTGACCTCACCGAGCGGCTACTTGTTTTACTCAAGACTTTATTGAATTGCTGGTCAGCTTATCTTGAGATGTATTCACAGGGGCAGGTGGTGACTTCGGAACCCATTTCTATTAGAAAAGGAATATTTCAGGGCGATGTTTTTTTAAGTCCTTTGCTTTTCTGTTTGTCACTATATCCTTCGAGCATTTTGCTCAGCAAAGAGGGAGGTTACCACCTTTGACCTCAGCACAGATCCCCAACACCCTTTACTCACCTCCTTCACGTGGATGACCTTGAACGTCTTGCCAAAGGAGAATTCATTCTACACAAACATATTCTCATTGTCGAGTCCTTTTCTAATGATATTGGTATGTCCTTGTGGGAGTTGATATTGACCATCTCGTGGAAGGTCAGTCCTATACATACTTACGGATGCAGGCTAGGGACAAACTCCAGAATGCCCATAACAAGACAAACTTTAGACAGAGTACAAATATAGACTTAAGAAAATCAGGAGTTCTCTGCCGAACACTCGCAATAAAGTCAAAGCCACAAAAAAATATGTTGTACCTGTCCTTTCGTATTCTTTGGTGGTGTTGATTGGACGAAACAAGAAGTTCAGGGTATTGACATCCTCACACGAAGAATCATGTCGGACAATAGATTCCACACCCTTGCTCTTCCCTCAATCGCTCATAATTAAAATATTACCAATTATAATTAGAGGCGTGGTTTGATTAACGTGGACACATTAATACCGTCTTTGTAATGCTTGTGGTTTTGACACAGAGGTCCATCCATGGTACGACCCAGAATAAGTAGAGGGCGTCATCGAAGATGATAAATACAAAATTCTTTGGAACAGGCTCGAATACAGCCTCATACACATTCAGGCCAACAAACCTGATCTTGTCCTTTTTGATAAATCCAATGAAATCATTTATATTATTGAATTTTCGGCCCCGTTTGACACAAATGTGAAAGACAAGATTCAGGAAGAAAATATGCAGACCTCGCTTTCGAATGTCAAGCTTTCATGTGGCAGACACGAAACACACTAAAGCTATAGTACCTACTTTTGGCAATTGTAAGTAGCGATGCTCAAAGGATAACAGTCCAAGAACAACCCCACTACGTCTCTCAACCTTCCAAGTTCCACATATATTCAGAACAATTCAAAAATGAATATGAAGGAACTAAAGTATTGTCGGAAATGCTAGAAAACTGCTTTTTGCCTGTGACAAAAGGATATAATTTTTCACAGACTGTTGTTATTGAAATATAGAGTAACTACCGATCGACCTCCCTGTGGTTTGAAGTATTTCAGTCACAAGAAGTCCTATCGACAAGGTTACAGGAGACAAATTAGAACGAAAACAGGAAGTTTACATTTATTCTATGTCCAATTATGGCAGTCGGACGACAGAAATATGCGCACGTGACTCCGTTATAATGATAATAATGTAGTCTTCATAAAACGTCTGATCCACACACAAAAATCATTTTGAGAAAATTTCAGATGTGCAGCTTCTAAAGTGACAAAATGACACTGCGTTTGTTTTGTAAACATTCCTCCCATGATGCATATTACTTTACACTTGCATAGCCACAACTATGTACACAATATGGAGTCTGTATTGGGAAATGAATACAAGTACTTAACACTTTAGAGAGATAGAGGAAAACATTTATTAATTTAGATAGGGTGGATTACCGAACTGCCCAAGCTATATGGTTTTCAGTTCATACCATCAAGTCTACGGTATGATAAATAAAACAAAATAGGTATAGGGGTGGTGTCGAAAACAAAACTGGGACGTAAAAGGAAATGAGTCAGCTTTGATACAGAATAAATAGGCGTATAGTGTGCAGGCTTTATGAGCAGAAGGTAACCTTGACATGTACTAGAATATGGGAGGAATTTAAGATACAATTAATGTTAACTGCATTAACTATTGCCCTCCAAGAGATGGATTTCGATACACTGCGCGTGGCGATGACCGAGCACTTTTCAGGGGAAAATATTCAATCCTGTCTATGAGGTGACATAATCTCTGAACCATTCATAACTATCACAGTCAGGGCATCCAGATAATTTATCTTGATGAATCATTCCACTGACTACATGTGGCAGGTGGACAAAAAACACCTATAGACCATCATGTAAAGGTAATCGTGTCATTGTTTTGCACGCTGCAACCCATGATATGGGGCTTATTGATGTACATGTACATGTATATGTGCTAGTTTTCGAGGCGAAAAAGAAAACTGGTGATTTTCATAAGGAGGTGATATGTTCATAGACTAGGTAGAACTTCAGCTATTGCCCATTTTAAACAACGTCAGTGTCATTGTCATAGATAACGCCAGTTAATATAACGTCCGGGAATCAGATACTGTCGCCCAAACCTTGAGTAGTCTGAAGGCGACCATACAGGAATATATGGCATTGTCGACTTCAGACCATATGAAACGAAAGTTCAACTCATGGTGAAAATTCGGCTGAAAAGAACCCTGTAAAGTACAGGACATATGTGATGGCGGCACAACACGGTCACGTTGTCTTACGTACGCCAGTCAGACATTGTGAGCTCAACCCTGTTGTGCCCATCTTGGCTAAGTGTAAAGGGTTCGTGGCAAGACATAAGATAACATTCAAATAAATAAATGCTACCTCAAGAAATCGTCTGTAGAACAACAAATACATCTGGATTCCAAAACCGCAACCTTCCAATACGCATCCCGTTTCATAGCTCTAAACTATTCCATCGTGTTTCCAAGCAAATATAATGCAGTACATATCCTTAATTGCTACCCAATCAACGCACATGTCATTTAAGTACAATAGCAGCAATATTTTGAGACCACCCCCATCATCACCTCGGGACAGGTGTCAGGTAATTAACTAAGGTTACTGACCATTTCATACATGCATGACAACACACGAATATTTTCTAAGTTGATCATCATTTTACCCGTAAAAGTACATTTTAAGGGTAATCACAGTGTCAGTTAGGACAGGCTAGATTAGGGCAATTTGAGTTATTTTGATATATGCTCTTTTTTAGTCCTATGACTCGTATTTATTAAATGAAGCCAGAAAAGCAGTTTTCTAGCAGTTTTTCCAACAGTACTTTAGCTCTTGCACCCGGCAACTCCAACGAACGTTTTCAAATTCTCAAGCAGCTGTCTCCAATATGAAACATTCTCCTTCTTAATCCGTTCAATGCATCTAACATGGCAGGAATACCTTTCAATACCAATACACAAACCAGGCAAGTAACACAATACAGCAGATTCATATTATGATCAGAAATACAAAGTCTATGCCATGCTCTATAAACCACGGGATAAACCAAACGCTCCAACAAACCGTAGTTCACAATACTTTTCCCTTTCAAAGGAGCGAGGGCAGACTGACACAGAGGGCGGAGGTGTCGCTGAACAGTCAAGATGGCGATAGCAAAGTTCACTAACCTTTTGACATTCGTTTGCTTTATATACTGGACAGCTCCTCCGGGTATGTGTGCCTTGCTTATATTATTATTACATTGCGCCTTGGCTTCCGTTTAAATATCCCTAAGATACATCGGTCGGCCAGTTTGTTTTTACGTCCCCATACTAGCATTGTAGTAGTAGTAGTAGTAGTACTCCAGGCATGTGTGCCTTGCTTATATTATTTTTAACAATGATGAGCCTTATTCGCCGTGATCTGTTTGCTTCCTGTGTATGTAGTCGTTCTTCGCTCGTAGGCTTCCATTTAAATATCCCTAAGATACGTCGTCGTCGTCGTCGTATTAGTAGTAGTAGTAGTTTGTTTTCACGACCGCCTATTATTTACAGATTACAATAAATAATTCCTTTTGAATAAATCCAATTAAATAATTTATATCATTTAATTTTCTGTCCCTCTTGACACTAATGTTATTGATTCAGGAAAAACATATGCGGACCTCGATTTCAAAATGTCAGGCTTGCAATCCTAGTACCAAGTTGTCCGACTCCCCATTGTTATCGGTGCCTTTCGTGTGGTACCTCACAATCTGTTGTCTGTCATTGGAAGAGCACCCGGGTTTGCTTCCAGGAATACAGCCCTTACGACAATCTGGGTAAAGCAGAAGGCTGCAGTGTTTGGGAGTCGAATGAGAAATTTGAGTAACGAATAACGAAAACCGGCATGTGTTTTCGAAACCAAGATAGCGTCCCCTTTGAAAACGCCATTTTTGTGTATGAAACCTTATTGGATAGACTTTACGTCTATAATATAGTTACAATTATATATGTATGACGATGGACACAACTAAGGAAAAGTGTATATACCTAATGAATTCCCATTATACACCTTTACGTTTTAATCGCTAAATTAGTGTAGATGAAACAAATATCTAGTCTCCATACAATCTCATGAAATGGTGGGTCCCTAAAGCACAACACATGTCAAGGACACAGTGCATTGATGGCGAATTATACCCTACGCTCTAATACCTTTCCTCATAGATGCTTCATATACGTTTGTTCGCACTTCCCATGCCCTAGGTGTAATTAACTGTCACAATGTTCTCTCATGCTGTATGAGCACGTCTATAGCCAGTGAACGATACACATGTACTGTCATATAACGATGACATTGCAATACCATAAAAGTAAGTTTTGAATAAACGAATTGTTGGTGTAGTTTGAGATGAATGTTAATATTGTATTACATTGCCAGTTGTCAGCGGAATGTATTGTCACCGGGTCGTAAAACCAGTGACCGTTACGCTGGCCTGTCCCTCCATTGCCCGGCGTCGTCACCGTTCGGCAGAGTCCGGCGATCGTCACATTCCGGTTCATTGTTAGAGAATTGGTGACCTGTAAATTGTATTCTCCAACTGTTTAAACGCAAACTTTTATCATATCTTGCTTTGATATATGTAATGAATGAAAAATGATTCTGTAGTTTTGATTGTCGTGCTGTAGCGGCATTATCTAATACTTTTTATTTTATCCACCTCACTAATTGTCCATATCTGGCTGTAAATATTTAGTGGTACCGTTGAAAGCGCTTTGTTTTGATATGTAAATCTCCCATATTGGGTAGTTAGTTTGCTATTTGAGATTTCCCTACGTTAAAAAACACACGTTGTTAAGCTCACCAGTCTATAGCATTCCTCCGGCTGACCAAGAGAGTTTGTTCTCTCCGAGGTTTGCGTGTTTCGTATAAAACCCGAAATAATGTGCCACTCCGCATGTCTTGAGCCCCCTCGACAGAATACAAGACAAAGCAACAGATACTTCACTAGAAGTACTACAAGTTGTTGGTTGGTTTGCTGTTTTACGCCGCACTCAGCAATATTCCAGCTATATGGCGGCGGTCTGTAAATAATCGAGTCTGGACCAGACAATCAAGTGATTGACATCACGAGCATCGATCCACGCAATTAGTATACGATGACATGCATCAATTCAGAGAGCCTGACCACCCGATCCCGTTAGTCGCCCCCTACGTCAAGCATAGTCGCCTTTTACGGCAAGCATGGGTTGCTGAAGACCAATTCTATCCCGGATCTTCACGGGTATACTACAAGTAGAATCAGGAGAACTTCCAGTGAAACTAAGAAGAGAGAAGGCACTTTTATCATATCCTTTGGTGAAAAAGTTATGTCAAGACAAAAACTCCCGAGATGAAGCCCTAGCTCGGAAATATCCCTCACAAAAGCCACGTGAACTCATCCGAAGTCACAAATGTGATACATTCGGCCACAAGAAAGCCACTACAAAGGGTTTCACCCACCCTGTACTTTACAAAATCCCAAAGTCCACATCAGATGTCACTAAATAAGAAAACCCAACCTCACTACGATCATTAGCTATCACTAAAATTCAAACCACCTGGGACAGCTTGGTTCAACTGATGGATCCATGAATCCTATCAACAAAATTGCTGGTTTCGGGATCCATATCCATAGCTCCAAACCCCAAGCACGTTCGGTTCGCTTGCCTGATGGTCAGCCATGCACTCACAGTCAATGATACGATATACGAACTTGCAAAAATATCAGACCAAGGGCAACAGGTGGTGCTGTGCTGGATCCCGTCTCACGTATATATGAACAAGCAGATACACTGGCGAAGCTAGCTCTAGACAAAGCGGAGATACAGCCTATTTCCTTCAGTGAACATGAGATAAAAAAACAACTTAAAGCCTCCATAGCTCAAAGACGCAAGTATGATCGGCTGATGGTTATACAAAATTCAATCAAAGATCCACTAAAAGTTGAAGATGCCATCTCACGCCTCAGACTCGGTCACAAAAAGCACTATGACAAGGTATGCCCATCTTGCAATCAACCTAATCCATTGTTCACTTGTTACTGGAATATATTAGTAATTCAAAGTCTGTATATTAAACAGCTACAGTAGTGTGGGCAAATACACTGACACTCATTTAATAAATGACCGCAAGTTCGTCTTACAGGTGTACCGTCGTCGAAAAGCGGTTTAGTTATAAGACAATAAAATGACAGAACATATTCATAGGAACATCAAAACAGGCCAGAAATTTGACAATTATGTGTATCAAGTGTGAAGTATCTTTAACCAAAGGGGCCTCTTCGAGTGATGAACATTGTAGCTGGGTCGCTTCTTCGACATTGATCTTGAGCAGAGGCCTTGAACTTTGACCAATGGCGATATACAATATCACCAGTCTCGGACTGACAATATCAGTTTGTCAAAGATAGTGCATTTATTTCACTGACAGACTTGATTGTTTAACGCCAGTTATAATAAAGAATGTTAAATATAAGGGTTAACCCACTATTGTACGCCATCATTACACGATGTGTTTGTGCAAGCAGAAAACACTGTTACAGTGATGATCTGAATTAATAGTGCGTCCGTTATTTCAGTTGCTGGCTTCGCTAATGGACCCCACCCTAGCACCTGCCTCACGATGTTCCCTAAGCATGGTCAAGACTTGACATGGCAAGCTTCAGGAACGTGTCCCTTCAAGATCAAACTGTCCAGCGATACTTATAGACCTTTGCAAAACATCACTGGTACGTATTATTTATTTGTTTCTTTGTTTGTTGTTTAACACCGCACTCAACAATATTCCAACTACATGACGGTAAATAATCGATTCTGTGACTGACATCATGAGCATCGATCTACGTAATTGGGATACGGTGACATGCATCACCCGACGCCGTTAGTCGCCTCTTAAGACAAGCACAGTCACCTCTCATGGGTTTGCTGAAGGCTACTTTGCAGGAATATTGCTGTGTGTGGTATGAAAACAATAAGAGTAATAATAACAAAATAATATATAAAATTAATACCACATTTGGCCACACAACTAATGCTTTCTTCTGTTTTTTATGGTAGGCATTCATAGGATTTGACTAAATATGACGCGAAGGTTTTGACAGACATCGTCATTATATTGTTATCTAATATGACACGCTGCTTATCAGCATAATTAATAAATAAGCGACAAACCCTTTCCATATTCATGAGAAATATCTGCCAAAAGCAGAGTCGATTGTACGATTCCGACTTTATTATTGACATGTGTTTATGAATGACTATCAAAATGATACCTGGTGCTCGCGAAAAGGTGAGCGTATTCTCCCCATCGGTGGCACCGTCACAAAAACATGCAAAGGCAAGGCAAGTCAACTGACATGCGATGCTATCACATACTATGAGTTTCCCTTACTCACGGGCTCTTATGTTAATGGGTGGGGCTTGGTGACATGGTTCACGGTGTGACGTCGTACCCCGACGTCGTTTTCATTGCTCGTGATGCTGATCACAGAATTGTGTGGCCCAGGCTGTATTTTAAAGGCCATCGTCGAGTGGTATGAATATTGCTGGTTGTGAAACTTTTATTGAATTGTGTGAGTGGCAAGTGATACCGATGGAGCAGGGCACGCTTACCCTTTTCGCGACTAACTGGTGTCATCTGAGATGTGACCGCCTTCGTGGTCTAGTGGTTGAGCGTCCGCCCGGAGAGCGGAAAGTACGGTGTTCGATCCCTGGTTGCGTCATACCGAAAGACGTTAAAAGATGGTACTTGTTGTTACCCTGTCCGGCGCTCGGCATTAAGAGGCTAAAACAAGGACTGGTCTGCTCGGAGTCAGTATACTGTGTCTGAGTGGGGTATTCATGTTAAACTGCGGCATGGTATCTCAGTGAGCTAGCACTATAAATCGGCATCAGTCCGGACTAGTACAAGCAGCCACACAAACACACACACGTACACGTACGTCGCTATTTAAGTGCAATAATCTTGGACGCGACCTCACTTCATCACTGATGTCTTACAATTTTCATCACTATTTTGCCTTTTCCGCCCAATGGAATCTGTTTTGGCAGATAATGAAGATTGATCATTATCAGGTGTTGACGTTTTTAATCTCATCGTTTTTCAGGTAAATAGAGAACGACGAATTTTATATTTGAAAATGTTTTTTTCAGTTCGTAATACAGACGACATTGCGAAAATTCGTAATTCATGGAATGTTCTGTCATAAAATAAGATATATTTGCATTTTGAATATTTGTATAGATAAACATAATGTTGGGCGACAATAAGCAAGAGAATATTTTGTGAGATGTTACATTCAATTGTTTGTTATGCCAGTTACACTTGAGTCCGATGACAGTCAAGTGTTTCGTGGAATCCAGATCAGTGCTCACAGAAAGTCCCTTAACAAGGAGGAATTCCAGGGAACGTTCTTGTCCTATACACCAGAAGCCAAACTCCAGTCTTTCAACTGTATGGGTGCACGCCACGTGAGTACTACTCCACACCAGGTGTTGTGCATTCCAATTCTTTACCACACCCGTCAAGATCCGGGTTAGAATAGGTCTACAGCAACCCATACTTGCCGCGACTAACGAGATCGGGTGGTCAGGCTCGCTGACTGGATTGATGCATGTCATCGTATCCAATTTGCGTTGATCGAGGCTCATGATGTCAATCACTGGATGGTCTGGTCCAGACTCGAGTATTTGCAGACGTCCGACATACAGCTGGGATACTGCTGAGTGCGGCGTTAAATAAAAAACAAACAAAACAAGTCTTTAACATACATATATGTGACTGATGTGTGAACTACATGTATTTGCGAATGACGCGCATTCACCACAGCTTGTAAGGGGAATGTATTAATTTCAAACGGGTATGACTACTTTCTGACATATTTCTCTGGTTCGTTTATGTGCAACAAACGAACACTTACTTTTTTTATGCAAAGTTATCTTTATGCACGAAACATATATTATATCATATCAGTTGAATGTTAAATGTGAATAATACAGGAAACAAATGACCAAATAGATGTGTGTTAATTATCAAAATAATTATCACAGCAAATTATTAATTTATAGTGGAAAATATAGTTCTTATGTTCGTATGTATATCCTACTGTATTTCCCTATAAACGTTGAGTAGGCCAAGTGTGACGCACTCAATTTATGACCTCTATATGTTTTTAGAGCCAGATAGCCCACAAGAACAACGACACCGTGACTAAAGTTGTGTTAGTGTGGCAGGCACCGGGTGTCAACGTCGGGGACATTGTCTTCAAGTGAGTATTGTTTTTGCTAACGTATTTGGGTCCATTTCAAAGAGTATTGTGTCCTGCCCATGTCACTGTATGTTCCCATGATTCAATAGTCAAATAAATTGTTGCTAACTATTAAATAGGAGTTCGCAAGTTCAATATACCATGACTAATTTTAATGAGCAGTAATTAATAAATGACGTATATTGTTTTGTAGAGCAACGTTCGTTCAAAACTTCACCACGTTTTGGGCTTGGGAGACCAAAGATCTGCGAACCCTGGACGAATCTTCAGTGGTGCTACCCTCTCGGATGGTAAAATACTACCAATAATAAGTATTATAGCTAAAATGGATAGAATTATCATGAAACCGCCCGCATGTTATCAGAGATGAGCGGGCCACTGTAACTTGATAATGCCCTCATATTGCTTGACGACGGGCCGTTATCACGCCCGTTGTTAGGTGATGTCATAGGGATAGAGAAAGGTGACGTCACGCTCAATAGTGACGTCATCTGGTTTGTTCTATGACGTTTCCATTTTTGTAAAAGTGGGCCAGTGAAATTCGTGTTTCTCCTTCATGGGGCAATTAATGGAAGACCTCGGGCTTCTGCAAATGATAATGCCCTGTAAAATAGCGTTACCCTTATATTATAACAAGTTTTGTCACGTTTATTTGGACTTCAAAATCCACATAATTTAAAATCGAGGATAACAGATTAAAGATACTAATTATTTCATCTTCATCATTTCCTTTCCAACGTACCATTTGGATGTAATTATTTCGATATACACGTACATAATAGAATCAGTTCTATCACCCACTCAATGTTATGGTTTCCTTTAGGTTGAAGACTTTTCACCAGTTAAGAATTCGAATCATCAACATATGGTTTCGCAATTTCAGCTGGAAGATCCAAAGCAAGAAATGGATGACATCGACTTTTCACGGTGTGGGTCAGACAAGGGATGTTTCTTCTACCCCAGACTTTGTAGTGGCACCGACTGTAATGCCGCTGTAACTTATCAAAGGAATGGTGACTCATACACATTCGAGATGATGGCGAAATCTTCTGGTTACGTCAGCCTTGGATTTTCGAGTGACACCATTATGGTATGAATAAATGATGACTGATTAATAGAACGTACATGTGGTGAAAGTGATGACACTATTATGTTTATACCTAACGTACATATACTACGAAGACTCCCATTTGTAACTACTTTGATAGTCATTTCAAAGGGTGTCGCGGAAAAAAGAGTGTTACCACCGATATTAACGTGTACTTGTTTTAGTAACATCATAGCGTATCTTATGAAGGAGGGGGGGGGGGGGGGGGGGTCCTAAAGCTGATTGGATCTTTTGTCCAAGAAGGTTCATGTGAGCGTAATGCAAACGGAAAGCACGACCAGTTGTATCTCTCTGTCGTGTTGTCTCGTGTTTTAACATGCTACTTCTAAAACTGTCAGTTCTCAAAAAACTTCTCCAAAACAAAGACTGTAATAACCCTAGCATCTTTCCACCCAAAAACATATTCCTACTTGGGGCCAATACTGAAAACTGTATACACTTAGCTTTAGCTACCCCTTACTGGAGAGATGTTTTGGCTGTTTGGGGAACACTGTATAGAAGATACAAAACCAACTCCACAAACATTGAAGAAGTACTATCAGAACCTCTTTGGTGTAACCATCAGTTTTAAAAAACCGATTTCCTTATGAGAAATTGTTTTTTAAAGGGAATTTACACTATTAAAGATCTCTGTAATGAAGATGGTATAATGCTGTTAATGAACTTAAAATTAAAGACCAAATTAAAAGCACAATTATTGACTATTACCAAGACCTATTAAACATAATAAAATCCTGGAAAGATACTATTAGTAATAATCACACTATCTTATATAATCAACATTTAAATACAACTTTGATGGACTAACTTGTAGGCCTAAAGGCTCCAGATAATGTTTTATGATAAGACTATAACTACAGCAAATCTCCCAACAGTCTGTGAAAAATGGGATACCATTCTCGACTTAGATATCATGGAAAGATGTTTTTATCAGATACAGAAAATGTACAAAAGATGTAAAATTACTTGATTTTCAATATACATTTATTTATCGCATCATCTATACAAAGAAAAAAACATTAAAATGAAAATTGTCGATGATGCTCTGTGCTCATTTTGTGAAACTGATACTGAATCCTTACTTCATGTATATTGGAATTGTAAGCATGTTAAAGAGTTTTGGACTAAAGTTGAATGTTTTCTGAATGCAAATTGTTCAAAACAATTTACATTTTCAAAATGCTCTGTTATACTTGGGTACAGCTCTGTTAAATCACATCATACTGGCATGCAAATAATATATACATGTATCAAGTATTAAGAAAATAATAATGTCACTTGAAATATTTCTGAAGACTTTAATTGATACATTTCGGACCGAGAAATCAATTGCACACAAAAACAATACAAGACAGTTTGACAGAAAATGGAAAGATTTGGCCAATGAATTGTCTCTATTTTTTTAAACATGAACAATTTCCACTAATGTGCTGTAAGGATTTAGCTTCACACTTAGTTAATAAACATGACAAATGTAGCCTGCCCGTTTCACCATTTGTAAACATTGTTGGACACCTGTAGCCAACTTAGATTTGTTGTCTGCTGTGTAGGCATGTAGCCTACACCTAATAAGTATACCACATGACGTGCTACTCAATGTATAACTCTGTAATATCATATACTGAATTGAATAAAAAGAAATTTAAAAAAACAAAAACAAAAAAAACATGCTACTTCTAGGAAATGTACACCATGCTTCAGCTATGATATCCATGTGTCTTTGTCATGGTTAGGGGGATGATGTCACGGTAACGTGCACCGCTCGAGACAACAGTGTGACAGTTCAGAACGGCTATAACCCAGCCTACTACAATGAGAGACTTATGTCGGTAAGTGCAAAGAGTGAAAGATGCCCTGCCACAGTGACCATATATTACTGAAGGATCGAAACATAGTGTTTATTGAACTCCATGTCACTTCATTTGTGTCACCTACATCATGGACAATTAGTTTGAAATTAACGTGTCCTTCGTAACAAGGAATACAATGGATAACCTGATGATGGGGCAAGAGGTAGCCCTGACACATTGCGTATGTCAAGATAGAGAAGTTGTTATCCACACTATTCTTTGTCATATCTCAGCCCTGAAACATTGTGTATTTATACTAAAGAAGTTGTTATCCACACTATTCTTTGTCATATCTCAGCCCTGAAACATTGTGTATTTATACTAAAGAAGTTGTTATCCACACTATTCTTTGTCATATCTCAGCCCTGAAACATTGTGTATTTATACTAAAGAAGTTGTTATCCACACTATTCTTTGTCATATCTCAGCCCTGAAACATTGTGTATTTATACTAAAGAAGTTGTTATCCACACTATTCTTTGTCATATCTCAGCCCTGAAACATTGTGTATTTATACTAAAGAAGTTGTTATCCACACTATTCTTTGTCATATCTCAGCCCTGAAACATTGTGTATTTATACTAAAGAAGTTGTTATACATGCTATTCCTTGTTATGTAGTAGCCCTGATACGTTGTGTTCTTATAAAGAAGTTATTGTCAATACTATTCCTTATTTATATGGTAGCCCTGAAACAATGTGTATTTATAATAAAGAAGTTGTTATAAATGCGATTCCTTGTCATATAGTAGACCTGATACGTTGGGGTTTTTTTTATAAAGAAGTTGTTGTCAATACTATTCCTTGTCATATATTAGCCCTGATTCGTTGTGTTTTTTATAAAGAAGTTATTTACATTCTATTTCTCGTCATATGTATATAGAACTTCAAAATGCCATCTTAAGACACTTATGGGTGTCAGACGTACATTTTCTTCAGTTCAAACGCTCACTACGGGATAAGTCATTAAGCTATCATTGCCATAAATGGACGACAATGACATCAGATTATAGTACAGAACCTACTTAACGTATTTTTTCTATTAATTGGAATGTTCTATATGTCCTGTTATGTTCCAGTACGACCTGACTGACCTCAGCGTTAAGAAGACCACCACCACTGTGATGTGCAGATTTACAAGACCACGTGTTCTAAGTTTACAACGAACGAATCCCCTCACTGACCCTCCTCAAGTGAACACTCTCAACTTCGACATGGAGACACAGTCGTATATAACGTTGGCCTGGGGCCACCTTCCTGTGGGTGAGACTCAGATTAGTTATATATGAGCGAGTATTGTAGGAGTTGTTGTAGTAGTAGTAGTAGTAGTAGTAGTAGTAGTAGTAGTAGTTGGCCTGGGGCCACCTTCCTGTGGGTGAGACTCGGATTAGTTATATAAGCGAGTATTGTGGGAGTGTGATGTGGGAGTTGTTGTAGTAGTAGTAGTAGTGGTAGTAGTAGTAGTAGTAGTAGTAGTAGTAGTAGTAGTAGTAGTGAAATGGGGGTTTAACGTCGCGTCCAAGATTATTGCACTTATATAGCGACGTGCATGTACGTGTGTGTGTGTTTGTGTGGCAGCTTGTACTAGACCGGACTGATGCCGATTTATAGTGCTAGCTCACTGAGATACCATGCCGTAGTTTAACATGAATACCCCGATCAGACACAGTATACTGACTCCGACCAGTCCCTTAATGCCGAGCGCCAGACAGGGTAACAACAAGTACCATCTTTTAACGTCTTTTGGTATGACGCGGCCGGGGATCAGTAGTAGTAGTAGTAGTAGTAGAAATAGTAGTAGCAGTATAATTAGAAGTACTTGTAGTAGAAGTGTGGAGCAGAAGTCACTCATTCAGTCACTTTTTAAAACATGTATCACTGTTCCAGGGACTGACGTCGTGGGGAAACACAAGGAAAGTCCTACAATGTCCGACGCCATGGTCGACTTCCAATCCTATCGTATCTACAAGTTATCTTCCTTGGCTAAAGAGTACAAAGCTCATGGTAAGTATGGATGTGTCTCTTCGGTATGATGGCTTTCGTCATGATCTATCCAGGCTCATAGCCCGCAGTTGAAGAGAGGACAAAAACAAATATGCTTCCTCAGTTTCAATGAAAACGCAAAAACAATTGTTCTCGGGATATGTTCGATATCCGGAAACTATGTGTTGTGAAAAGAAATTAATTTGTTTGGCAATCACTGGATTGTCTGGTCCAGACTCGATTATTTACAGACCGCCGTCATATAGCTGGAATACTGCTGAGTGTGGCGTTAAACAACAAACCAACCAACCACACATGGCAAGTATGTATTCGTGTCCAACCTAATGATATATCTATTGAGGTCTTATAAGTTGCAGCCTTGCATTAATTTGCATGGTCAACGCCAATCAGTTTCGATTATCCGACGAAACAGATTCCAAATGCGAAATAGCGGTGAAACTTATATGAATGGCTCACTGAAAATCAGTTTCAAAACGTTTTCTGTTAATTAAACTGATCACACTTGAAATCAACAACCTTACGAGAGATATGTGAGGCTTCAGTGTTCAGGGAGCAGTGTTGATGTAGCCTGGTGGTTAAAGCGTTCGCTCGTCACTCCGAAGATAGGGGTTCGATTCCCCACATAGAAACAATATGTGAAACCCATTTCTGGTGTCCCCCGCTTTGATACTGCTGGAATATTGCTGAAAGCGTCTTAAAACCATAGTCACTCACTCACAGTGTCCAGATAGATAGAAGGTGCGATTCGCTGTGCAGAGTTGCTTCCCTTAGGCACGCCAGAAACCTATGATTGTGGGTTCGAATCTCGGTTCGCTCCAATTATGTTTCTAGGTTTGTCAGCACCATACCCGTGCACGTGGGTTTCACTGAAGTGGTAAACGTCTGAGACCTGCATCACTTCGGGCTTTCCTCCCACATTAAGCTGACACGCCGCGATATAACTGGATTACTGTTAAAAGCGGCGTTAAACCACACTCACTCACTCACACTCATCTGCAACAAATGTACTGTTAAAGGCAGTTTCTTCAGCCCTCATCATATTGTGAAGGGAAATTTGGGATAGTTTTGCTTTCAATAATCCTTTCTCAGTAGTTCACAAACATGCTTATCCTCAACCGAACAGAACTGGAGAGTTTTCATGGCATAACATACCAAATGTAAATGTAATAATGAAACATACTCGTATTGTACGTACGTCGCATAGGTATACATGGAAATTCCATCAACGTGACGCTATTTTCGCAAACGTGGGTTCCAGGTGCTTTGATGATCATCGCCTGGATGCTGTTGGCTGGTCTGGCTACTGTCATCGCCAGGCACTACAAGGACCTGTATGGAGAACATATGTTCTGTGGCACCAAAATATGGTTCCAGGTAAGACATGGTATGGGTTATATCGGAATGAAAGTTGTAATCCATGTTATTAATACATTTGGTTAGACATTCGATACCTATACTGAGAGACAAAACAATCCACTTCTCAGTTGATTTTATCATGTTGGTTGATTTCTAAAACATCAATTTCAAACATCTTAAGTTACCGATATTATATATAGAAAATGGACTGTACTGGCGCTTACTCAGCACTTCTACGTGGTTTTAATTTTTAATAAAATTTGATTTATATTTTCCTTTGAAATATCGCATTATACACAACTGCCTATGGGAACCTTTGAAAATCAATCAATTTGTTTGGCTCAAATTTACATTTCAAGTATAGTAGGTGTCATGTGGTTGCAAATTCATTTCTTATCTATCCCAGTCTTCATTGAACCGATTAATTTGTACACAAAATTCCCAGACACAGATCACTTTTTACAAACTGTTGCAGGAATGAGTGATGGTTAAATAGACATGATCAAATTTAACACCAGTTCGTTCAATTTTCAGTTACTCAAAAACAAACTCGGTATGCTTTCTTTTGCCCCTCAGTTTACATGCACAGCTGAGACATTAAGAGGACATCGGTTATAATTCTGGTAAGGCATTGGGTACATGGACATGTAAATATTGAAAATAACGCAGGTATGATATAGATATACTGGTAGTTCTTTACCTACCAGTTGGATATCAGTTCGAAAGGACGTGCCAGGAAAGACATTGGGTATATTCCATGTATGAAATTAGGAATAATACAGGTGTGATAATAATAAGTCCCACTCTGTTGCATTGATAATGTGAAACGCCTTATAAGCATGTCCTATCTGTTGCCACGTTTACTTCTGAACAACTTAATCGTGTTCTTGGTTAAATGTGTAAGATGATGTCCTTATCTGTTTCCAGCTTCATCGAGCAATTGCTGTCGGTATCCTTGCCTTGACTGTCGCCAGTTTCATCATCATCTTTGTCAAAGTAGACAAACTCTCTGAGGGCGTAAGCATAAGCCTTTTAACGTATATTTGCGTTGGAAAATATATTTGAAAACGCAACATTGCTACAACTCGTACCAGGTTAGAAGACAAATGATATTCGGTACAATCTTGTCCTACAAATCTCATACTGCATTCTAATTCACGAGGGAGTGACTGAGTTAATATTGTTTTACGTCGCTTTTAGCAATATTCCAGCAATGTCACCGCGGGGGACATCAGGAAATGGGCTTCACACATTGTAACATTGTACCCATGTGGGGATTTGAACCCGGGTCTTCGGCGTGACGAGCGAACGCCTTGACCACTATGCTACCCCACTGCCCCTCTAATTTACGAAGTCGTAGGTGTTATCTCTTAATATATGGCCTGTGCAAACGTAGAATATGAGACTCTTACGATTGTCTTTATTGCATAACTGAACGTAAGGCATACTTGACACAGTAGTGTAAGGCGGCGGATGTCGTCGAGCAACGTGGCGTCCCTTACCCGACCGACATCACTGATCATGACCTCGTATCCCAGAGTATATAATGAACCTTGGTTTGTCGGTACCATATTCGTGCTCGATCTTGTCTGTTGCCAGGTGTCACCTTCTACTGTGTTTTCGTTGGTAATCATGAAACATAAAGATTTTTTTTTCTTTGCCGTAGACGGGAAGAACACACGCCATCATTGGGATCACTGTGGGCGTGGCAGTCTGTCTGCAGGTCCTGGGTGGTTTGCTGAGACCCGGGATAGACTCGAGTATCCGCCCTTTCTTCACCTGGGGGCACCGTCTGCTGGGCCAGGGAGCACACATCCTGTCAGGTATTATTATAAGGGTGTTGGGGGGGAGGGGGGGGGGGGGGGGGGGGGGATGCGAACTTGGGGGAGGTTCAAAGGGAGCTTGGTAGTTGGGGTAGAGGGGTTGACATTTTGAATCAGTGTTGGCCGGGTTCTGAGGGCAGAGACCCTTTGAGCATGTGTAGCTTCCGAACTAATCAGCATCAATATGAGTACTTTCAGATGGGCTTGTCTCTTCTATGGCATTGGTTTTCGTTGCAGCCGTGAATTTCATCCTGGCGTTCAACATGAACTACATACCTGAGACATTGAGACAGTACGGAACCATTGTCGTGGCTGTATGGATCGCTGTGCAGATAGTCTGGGAGCTGGTCTTTGAGTTCTGGACTTGCAGGAAAAAAGACGTATCTGGTAAATAGATATCGAAAGCTATGTCCAACCTTTTCACCTAATCGAACATGTTGCAGATTCGCGTTTGAAACCAAGGCGATCTCACATGAACGACATTACGTTCGAAAACCTTTTATTTTCATTTTTATGTCCCCTAGCCATAATGTTTATGATGAATATTAATTTACTAAGATTTGAACTCTAGGCATTTACTTCGGCCAAAGATTGATCACATAGGCTTCACTGGACTTATTATTATCTATGGATTATGGAAACAGGTATATTCAAATGCAAATTCAGCCCAGCAAGATTCGTTGTCTTCAAACAAGGTATGGTTAAATGTTTGCATGCATCATAATGATAATACGTATTCATGGTCAGTTATCAACCCATGTTTATATTTGGTGATTGTAATACTCTTTTAAGACGCATGTTTTGTTTCTCTAGGGAGCGGAAACATTACTGACCCGAAAGGACTAAGTATTCAAGAAAAGACACGTCAACCGTCGAAGGTGAACGTCATGATGCTGGCCTTGTACGTCCTGACGCTTGTCGTCTTCGCCGTGGCCGCCCTCTGTGGAATATTCATATTATAACCTTCCCGTCTTAAAGAAGAGTAGTAGTTTTCATGCCTCACCCGGACATTAAATCCAAGGTTGCTAGTGTAGCCCAGTGGATAGAGCGATCACTTGTAACCCTGTAGATCCGTCGTTTGGCTTTACCATGGGTACAGTGAAGCCAGTTCTGGTGTTCCCCGGCGTATGTAAATACTCTGTAATATTGAATAACCCCTCAATCGCTCACTATTGCAGTCAAAGTGGACTAATACAATACGTTGTGAGAATTATTACAATTATAATTTCAATAGGCTACAATCGTACGTATTTATCAAATGACATCGACAATCATATTTGTAGCATTTCCTTCTGTACTATACTACAGCGTATTCTCAGGCAAGTATATCATATGATTACATACATTATCTTTTTTCTATTTTGATCAGTAATGATGAGTTTAATTTACATGTCCACATTGGTAAAACTAAACTGGTGCACGGAAAATAGGTTTAATAAATATTATACAAGCATGACATTTATCAGTTTTGTTTTGATTGCAAGACCTCGCAGTCTCTTGCCGCTTGTAGCAATGCCGAAGGATATTCAGTACTCGGAAACAAGGAACTGATGTCCTATCAGAGTGGGGTTCTTCACTATGTTGTCATGAAACAATGTCAGCTAACATCATAAACGTAGGACTGTATCTCCACCCCTGCCAAACACTTACGCATTGGTCTCATGTTGGGTTTAGAGTGAGCGAGGCTGAGCAAATGGCCCAGGGATTTGCCAACGATTCTACATTGGTCCCAATAAATATTACCCACAATAAGTAAAGGTTTTCATGCGAGTGTGTTTTGGGATGGTAAATATCCCGCACGGAAATAAACATTGTATTTGGCGAGTCTTTGTGATAGAGGATATCCAAATGTAATTCTTATTATTCTTTTGCCGAAAAACATATTCTCATCTCTCAAAAACTGTATCTAAATACGTTTTCCTGAAATGTACCAATATAGTTCGAACGGAATAATAACAGGTTTCCATAGCCACAAGAAATCCCTGATGTCCCCACAAGCAGTATCGATTTTATGATTCCGACTTTTTCATGATTATGTGTTTATAAATCACTATCAAACAGATGTTTTAAAAAAAGTCAGCGTATCCAGCCCTACAAGTGGCACCCGTCACAAACACATGCAAAGGCAAGTCAATTGTTCACGTGAAAAACATGAAGACATATGGTACAAGTCAAATAGGGAATTGCCTTGGACATAATTTTTATTATTGATTCGTCAAATGTGAAAATCCACACAATGTTGTAATAAGACATTGAATGCTGTATTCTTGATCAAACAACTTTTGAGCAAGATTCGTAGGACGCTTTTTGCATTCTTCGTAGAAGAAGCATGCTCGATTGTATCTCAAAAGTTGCAAAACGTAGACACCCAAAGCTGGAGCTGCTAGAATATTGCTCCACGATAAGGGAAAGTTGACTATTGGAAAGTTGAAGTCAACCACCAAGTCCATACATCAGGCTATCACAAATATACATTTCTATGAATCTGTACCAGTTGCAGGTCTGGTCTGGTCAATGTATACTCATAATATACCTATTTACCACTTTGTCCCATGAGTTAGGAATAACTTTGACCAACATTCAACAAACGCGTGTACGAAAAGCATCTTATTGAACACACATTTGTTTATTTTATTGTTCGACACAATAATGTATAATACTAGCTTCGCAGATATTTCGTGGTGTTTGAATCACCGTGGTATAAAGACATGTCTCAATCAGTAGAATCGCGGAAAGTGGCTGTTAATGGCGGCGATGAGCTGCCGGATTGTTTGGGTGAGCCCTGCTAGAGATGTTTCACGGACTATCAGTCATGAAAGCCATCATACTTGACAACATCAACTTCCTCTCCATGATAAACTAATGATGTCTCATGTGTCCCCTGCTACATTCGAACCCAGGATCGAAATTAGATATCATTTATTAAGTCAACACATACCCTTTTTCCAGCGATGTTAAAAAAAGTCTGCATTGCTACCGATTTGTCATTCGTGATCTTGGTAGTCAAACATAAGATACTCCAACTGTTAGAATACCTTCAGTTTTTTCTACCTTTCTCTATTGCTGTCTTTATGGCACGGGTCAAACTATACACAACAAGCAAGCCGATGATCTTCTGGACCAGGGAGACTTATCAGAGCCAGGCACAGGAGATGGTGAATGCTAATCAATCATCTAACCAAGACATTACGAATTGGAATCGACTAAAGATGAATGAAGTACAGCTCTATAAGACAATCGCAATTGTATACGTCCAACAGGTGTAATGTGTTTGTTTGTTTGTTTCTGTATAACGCCGCATTCAGCAATAGTCCATTAATATGAGGGCGGTCTGTAAATAATCGAGGATGGGCCAGACAATCCAGTGATTGACATCATAAGCATCAATCTACTCAACTGGAATACGATGACATGCATCAACCAAGCCAGCGAGCCTGACCACCCGATCCTGTTAGTCGCCTCTTACAAGGATGAGTTGCTGAAGGCCTATTCTAACCGGGATCTTCACGGGTAATTGTTTTAATAATAAGATACACTGAAATTCTGTATATGTTCAGAATAAGTGTGTGTAATTATAATAAGATGTATAATATATCTGTACACGCCAAATAAATAGCATATTGTTCAATGATGAGATCTCTTACAAGTCCATATTTCAATACATGTATGTGCATATTAATAACTCCACAAAAGCTGTACCAGCATCACAGATACCAATAATACATTTTTGAACGCGAGATACATTTACTTACTTTTAAGTTAAAACATGCATCTAAATAGTAACATAGTAGGTTTAAAAATATACACTTCCGACATTTTAAGTTTAATTTTTCGTAGAGAGAGAGAGAAGTTGTGACAGTAGTGACTGGTTTCTGATGGGTGCAAACAGGTGTCGAGTCGCTGTCTCAGAAGCCTCAAAATACCTAGCTATAAATTCATTTCAGTAAAGAGCATGAACCAATTCAGCGAGCCTGACCCCTCGATCCCTCAGTCGCCTCCTCACTGGCACGGGTTGCTGACGACCAATTATAACCCTCACCTTCTTCATGGGTGAAAAACCAATACAGTACCTCCAAAACCAATACTAAAGACAGTCATAGAAATGTACGCTCACAAAGTATTGTTCGTTTAAATATGATGGCAACAGATGTTCGAGAAACGAACCAGCATACCAAGCCCTGCGGTAATCCCATTCACGTCTATTGTTGGAGCTCACCGTTTGCCCTTGAAATGACCCAGGATGTTCACAGGGACAGAGGCGTAATTAGTGAACTTGGTATACAAAAAGCCACTCAACTGGAACTATCGACAAACTGAGCTGATGATAAACCTAACAAGCCTAACTGTGCCAGGATCACCCAGACCATCTTTGCTGTATTTTTTATTTTAATCTGAAAATAATTTATAAGAATAATAGGCCATTTATATTGCGGATATTTCCACACCACGCAGGGGAATGCTCAAAGCGCTATTATTACCCCGGTCACTAGATCGGTTTGCACTCAATAATCATTCTTAGCTCCCTGGGGGGTATACAACCCAAGCTGCTGTTAGGCGCTAGAAGGTTAACAACAACTTATCCTACAGTGTACCCATCCACTGCTGGCTGAACAGAGGCACATTTCGAACAGTCACTTGCCCAAGCCCCAACACACACGTGCATGCACGCCGCTATATATACACATGCACAAAAGTTAAGCGCCACCATATTCATAGTCTCTTGATTTCACGTGTGGGAATCAGAAATACGAAATATGATGATGTATGATTGAATTAGGCTTCCATAGTTTCATGATACCAAATTTGTCCAGATACCACAAGGAAAGCGTGCTTTACGTGTTGCTGCAGTTCCCCTACCCTATAAATAGTGAAATTCAAGTTTCAGACACGTGGTTGCATTTTGTTCCTGTGTGAGATTCCCCTTCCAATAGAGGTTGAAAATCAGCCATGGTGAGGAGAAAGTTAACGAACGCTGAAAGATGGCAAGTAATAGGCATGAAAAATGCTGGCATGTCATGCAGGGCCATTGCTAGACAAATGGGTCGTCATCACAGTGTTATCACTCGTTTGATTGTCAACATGGTCAAACCAATGATGTCAATGACAAGCATAGGTCTGGTAGGCCAACAAAGACCTCTAACAGAGAGGAGAAACGTCTTTTCAGGATAGTCAGACGAAATCCATTTGCCACTTCAACAGATTTAAGACTGCAGTGGATTACCCATCAGAGACTCTCGACGATGACCATAAGGCGTCGCCTCAGAGCGGCTGGTTATAACGCCAGAAGACCAGTAAAACGTCCTCAACTGAGAGGCATATGCGGAATGGTCTGATATGGCGTCCTGCCCGTAGTCGATGGAACTTGGCCAACTGGAGAAGGATCCATTGGTCTGACGAGTGTCGAATGCTGCTACGAACTGTTGATGGTCGATTATGTGTTTGGAGGCAACGTAACACTCGTTTTGCACCAAGGAACACCCAGAAGACCTTAGTATGTGGCGGGGTGTGTGTGTGTGTTGGGGGGGGGGGGGGGTCTGTCATGATATGGGGTTGTGTTTCCTTCGGCTGCAAACTTCCGCTGGTGACAATTCGTGGAAATCTGAATGGCAAACAATACCAACACACACAATACCAACACACACACACACACACACACACACACACACACACACACACACACACACACACACACACACACACACACACACACACACATACAACCACACACGTGCATGATCGTCTCTTTATACATGTAAGTGTAATTATCTTAAACGCGACTTTAAGCCCCATTTCACCTCACCTCCTCATGTTTGAGAACGTAATGTTCATTATGATAGGACATATTGTATATGGATTTTATATTAATTGATATCAATTTCTCATTGAGGCTGACTCGGTCTTATCAATTCTGAACTGACACAAATATCACGAACTATGTACGTGATAGTAATGTCATCATTTATCTGTACCAAAGTCGGCGGGGTAGAATAGATATTCAGCAACCCATGCTTGTCGTAAGAAGCGACTAACGGGATCGGGTGGTCAGGCTCTCTGACTTGGTTGATGCATGTCATCGATCCCAATTGCGTGGATCGATGCTCATGATATTAATCACTGGATTGTCTGGTGCAGACTCAATTATTTAAAGACCGCTGTCATATAGCTTGAATATTGCTGAGTGCGACGTAAAAGAACAATCCAACCAACCGGCTTGGGCTTTGCTTCCACATCAACTGACATGACATGATACCGACATAACCAGCGCAATGTACATGATGGACCGTAGTAACTGTCTTAGTATATTACTGACTGCCTCCGTGGTCTAGTGGTAGAGCGTCCGTCCGGGTAGCGGAAGGTCCGGCGTTCGATCCCCTGTCGCGTCATACCAAAAGACGTTAAAAGGTAGTACTTGTTGTTACCCTGTCTGGCACTCGACATTAAGAGGCTAAAACAAGG